TAGTAAAAGTAGTACCCGGCCGGGTTAGGGTATTTCATTTTGGTATCAGAGCCTGGCTTCCTCTGTTCCCTGGTCTCCAAGGAATACTGGAATATCGGTCTTAGTTTTCAAGGTTTTTGTTTTTAAAGGAAAGGAAAAAAAAGACTCAAGGATCTTCTTTTAAGAGTTTATAGAATCTCCAGTCTACTCTAATCATAATAAGGTGAATAACTATTACAGCACGACACCATGAGAAGGTAGCACGAGGGTGCAATTGGTTTAAGAATAAGCTAGGACGCGAGTTAAGTTAACTCGTCGTGGGACGTCAAATAAGAGATTGAAGCGTATGGCGATCCTCAGTAAGAAAGAAAGGATGAAAGAAACGTCACCAACCCAAGTAGAATCTCAAAGGCTCTCAAGACCAAGTATCTCATCGACATGATGGATAGTAGTTTTTCAATTAGTTAACCCACTACTCAGACGTTAGCAAATAGATCATCATCATCAACCTAGAGAAGGAAGGAGGAACGCTACAAAGGTCTGTGGAGGTAGAAACAAATGTGCGAGGACTTCAACTCCAAACACCAGCAAAGAGGTGCCAATTGAAAGGGATTACCTCAAGGATTTTGAAGGAGTTGAGAGAGAAGTACGAGGATTTTACTACAAGGAAACAAATGGATGATCTAATAAGGTAAGACAAACAAATAGGAGAACTATGAAAGAAAGAGCTACAATCACTAGATGTCAGTAGCTATAATGATGACAAAATTTCAGGGTTCTTGACACTAAGCAGTGGCGAGTCAAGAAACAAAGATGTACCACGAGAAGTCCCTCAACTAGTTTTAGTGGTCAACGCTATTACAACATAGTGACAAGAAGCAATGAAAAGCTTAGACTTCAAGAGAATCTAGGGTAGTATAAATGAAGCAAAGGAGGAAATAAGTCGGTTTTAGGGAGTATGAAAGACTTCAAGAAGTCAAAAGGTCAAGGCGGAGAGGAGGCATGGTCGTTTACATATAACGATAAAGGACCCTTATAGATAAACTACCTCACTAGAGAAGAGGGTACATGACCCTGGGGAGTTAGGCTGATAGCAAGCCTTTAAAAGGAACAAGACAAGCAGCGAGATAAATGATGTAAATGTTGAGGTTAGATCAGGCACACTATGCACCTGTCAAGCGCAAGCTAGATGACAAGGTATGAGAAGGGGTTGAGAGACCCTGCAAATTACCATGATCAAGGAGAATCAGAAAATCGTGGAATTTCAAGGAATCCATTGGGAAAGTCTAAAGTGGGAACTAGAGGGCCAAGAGCGGGAGTCTCGAAACCAGCCGTAGGAGTAAATCATTCAATCAACAAGGTATAGACAAGCAAGTACAACGTTCATTAGAAGTTCTAATGAAAGTTAGAGAATTCGAGGAAGAGTCTAAACGGTCGTAATGAAGAGAGTTTGCGAACAATACCAAGGAAAAGCAAAAAGGCCAGAGGGAGTTGACGAGATTTCAAGAAGTCAATGGGTCAAGTCTCAGGTGACTCGAGGTCAATAAGCTGCACAAAGAGGTATGATGAGGGAAAGCATTACCGAGAAGGAGGAAAAGAGGAGTTACCTTATCCAAGGTGCCCCACTCTGAGTGGGCGCGACATAGTAGGAGGGCTCCAGAGGAGACAACTAGTTAAGGATGAAACAGGCAAGCTTAGTTAAGCCACTAAGAATCCTAACTAAGAGACTAAGTTTATTTACAAGGTCGATCAACAAAAGAGACATGGAATGAGTCATGTTAAAGGTTACCAAGGGCAAGCCACCATTGGAAGTTGTGACTTAAAACAACAACGAGAAGATACTCAACAGAGGTTGGTGACCAAATATAGTACAAGCAACAACAGAAGAGTTGTAGTTTGGTGGCAGTAAAAGAAAAGAAGAAAGAAGAACACCGTGGGAAGTTATAGAAAAAAAATGGTTGGCATCAACCTGGCGAAGTACGCATCAAGGAAGATAGTAAGACGGGCGGAAGCAGGAGTACAACAGACAACAAGAAAGCATTAGGTTGACCACCAAGTAGAGAACAATCGATCCATAGGAAGTGCATCAAGAAATTTTGGCCAATTTTAAGGTGGAATTAGGGTCGTGAAGAATAATGGAAGGGAAAAACCTTGTAGGCCATAGTACATAAGTGAGAAGTGGATATAGGAACCTGGAGGACTACTTCGCGAACAAGGGACACTTAAACCGAGAAAGGAACATCAAGAAAAAGAGTCACGAGTAATGAAGTAAGAGGGCTATAAGTTTAGGGAACCTAATAGAATACCACAAAGTGAAACCAAGATCGCCTATGCTGGTGAAATGTGGAAATCTCTCAGGTAAAACTCTACTGAACGGGGAAATCGTACGAGAAATTTCAGCTAGGGCCTAAGAGTAGCATAATGGATAGTACGAGAACTTCAAATTCAGGCGGCGATAAGGAAGTGCTAAGTTAGGCGCCATGAGTGAACAAGTAAGCCAAAGGGAAGGTCATGACTTTGGAAGGGAGTCATAAAGTTGCTAGCAAGCTAGAGAAAGATGCAAAGGATGCCTTTAATGCATACAGGAAGTAAAAACAGTAGTATGGGGTTTCAGAGTTAAGCAAGAAGTAACGAGGAGATGAACACTCAGTTTATGGTCAAAGGATGAGACGAGACATCAAGGAAGAAAGTAAGGGATGCAAAGTTAGGAGATACAAGGACCTAGGTGACCTATGAGGTCAACCCTAGACGAGGGTTACGTTAAAAGAGTTTTACTATCTAACAGGATGGAAGTTAAGCCGCCATTAGTAACCCTAAGGTTGAAAGGGGTATTAAGAACATCAATAGGGACGTGTAAAGGATTCTTTCATGCTAAAGGCACAAGATATGGTGAATCAGGCATCAAGTGTGCGTATCAAGTGGAGTTATCAAAGAGGAGCATAATGAGGCCTATAAAAGGAGAAGAAGTGATACCTAGGAACCAGCATCGGAGTCAATCATTATGCAGGTCAGAAATTCTCTACAGACATTCTATACCTAGGAGATTCGTCAGCAGTCAAGATAGGGGGGACGAAGTTCAAGTCTTGGCCTGTTATGAGCTGAAGTTACGACGAGTCACGACCTGAATGGCTGGCTAACAATTTACTTCCTTAAGTTCTTAGGGAATCCTAAGTAGAGACCCAAGACAAATCGTGGAGAACAACAAGAGCTACGAATGTCATTACACCATCAGAGGCATTTAAGAAGGGAGAGGCAAAAAAGAGGCGGCTTGCTGGCGGTTGCATTATTTGGTTTCAAGCGGACAGGAGCTGCCAGTAGTGGTCGGGCTTGAGGTCGATGTCGCAGGTGGAATTCTCATGGCGCTTGGAGGCTTTCGATGGAGTCCGGCAGTGGAGCTTAATGGATGGAGGTAGTGGTACGGCCGAGAAATCGAACTTGAGGTAGGTGCCTTTTTCCCCAGTTCACGGTTTGGAATTGTAAGCAATGTAATTACTTAAAGGGTTTAGATGAGACCCATGATCTGATAATCATCACAGTTCTAAGAATTGAAGTTATTTGCTTGGTTGTGATCAGCACACAGCAGGGGATTTCAGCTTGCTACGTGGGTTGTTAATCATCGTATATGGATCTAGGTTGTGTCAAAAGAACTAATTGTTTCCGGGTTAATAATTCAAGGTAATAGTGATGATTATGATTGACATGGTTCTGCTACGTTTGGAAAAGGGGATAATAAGATTAGTTAATTGTGGAGCTTAGCTTACTAATTAATCACCTGACAACAACTTCTAGGTGGTTCAGCTTTTAGTCCAACTTCACAAAACCCCTCTTCCCCTTCAATACGGGACCGGTTATTGTAACAACACCCATTGGGTTGTTATTGTAACAACACTAGTCCCCAACCAATAGGAAGCTAGGATTGTGATGACTTTTTATTAGATGAGTTGACCTAGTGTAAAATCAAAGCAGGAGTATAATTGTCATTATGAAAAATCTATTTAAATAAAAAAAAATTAAAAAATTAAAAAATATTTTTTTATTTTCTGCCCAAAAATTTGGTCGTCGGAATTCTGCCACCGGTCGCCGGAAAATGGTCTCCGGTCACCGGAATATGTTTTTTGTCGCCGGAATATGCTATTTTGTGGCCGGAATATGCTTACCGGCGTCGGAATATGCTTACCGGCGTCGAAATCTAGTCACCGGGGCCGGAATATGCCTATCGGCGTCGGAATCTGCTCACTGACGGTCACCGGAGTTCGGTCAACGGTCTTCGTTGACCGGTCAACGGTCAATGACCACCGGATGTTATGGTTAGCATTGTGAGATTTATGGTTTGGTTTCTCATATTTTTTTATGCCTTTTATGGGTTGTTTTATTGTGTTTGTGGTTTGCATTGAGAAGTTTCTGGTTTGTTTTCAAAAACTTTGTGGTTTGCATTGTGAGGTTTCTGGTTTGTTTTAATATATTTGTGGTTTGCATTATGACGTTTATGGTTTGCTTTTTGTGGTTTGATTTACTGTGTTTGTGGTTTGCATTATGAGGTTTCTGGTGTGCTTTTGCAGATGTTGAGGTTTGCATTGTGGGGTTTCTGGTTTGTTTTAGGGGATTTGTGGTCTGAATTAGAAGGTTTCTAGTTTGCATTAAGAAGTTTCTGGTGTGCTTTCGAAACTTTTGTGGTTTGCTTTGCGAGGTTTCTGGTTTGTTTTAATATATTTGTGGTCTGCATTAGGACATTTTTGGTTGGTTTTACCGTGTTTATGGTTTGCATTAGGGGGTTTCTGGTATGCTTTTCAAAATATTTATAGTTTGCTTTGTGAGGTTTCTGATATGTTTTAGCAAATTTGTGATTTGCATTAGGAGGTTTCCGGTATGTTTTTTGTGAGTTATTTTATTGCGTATGTGGTTTGCACTAGGTAGGTAGGGAGCTTTTGGTGTTAAAAAATATTTGTGATTAGAATTACTAAACACCAATATAGAGTTTCTAATATATAAATACGGAAGCATGTACATAGAATGGATAGAATACTATTGTTTCTGGTTTGATGACACCAGACAAAGCATGCAAATGCATGTTGCATGCCGCCATGGGCTCACAATACACATTGCTCATCACTCGAGTGTCAGAGAAGGAGTTGGACCTACTCCATCTGCAGCCGCCGATTATGTTATTCCTAAGACAACACTAGTCCTAGCTACTACTACTGTAATCATTAATTGCCAATAAACTAAAATCTCGAGAACATCTACTAGTCGCCTGCCAAATTCGAGAACTCCAACCTTCCGTTCCCCGGCTTATATTGAAATCCCTAGAAGACAATTATGCAGAAGGACTCGCTACTCTCTGTAGCAGAACGTGCACACCCAGCCTGGTTTAACGCTGAAACTGGAATCTACGGGAGCCCACACGCCGCCGTCGCTCTCCCCGCCAACCCTCTCCTTGACCTCGTCTCTTTCATCTTCTCCCATCGCCGTCGCGATGCACCCCACACCTCTTCCTCGTCTGCAGTCGCCCTTCCGATTCCGCTTCCGGCCACTCAATCTCTTACGTACCAAGACCTCTTCCCCCTCGTCAAATCCACGGCCTCTGCTCTCCACAAATTGGGCATCCGCCACGGCGATGTCATCTTGCTCGTCCTCCCCAATTCAATTTGCTTCCTCGTCGTCCTCCTCGCCGTCCTATACGCCGGCGCCGTCGTCACCACCATGAACCCTCTCGCGACCGTCGTGGAGATCCAGAAGCACATTGCCGATTGCGGCGTCCGTTTGGGACTCGCTGCGCCGGAGAGAACAGAGCGGAAGGGAAAGCTTTGTTTTTATTAATTTTTATTGTAAATTTCCAATTTTGCCCTTAATGAATTATGTTGTTACAGTAACAACATATAGGGTGTTGTTATTCTATCCTACCCCCTTCAATACCCGGTGATCAAGTAACCACATGCCCACTTTATACATAGCTCTATTAGCGAACGTGGGTGCATGTTTATGATGGAGTGGGTAAAGAGAAGTGACCGTTCATGCATGTGCGATATATAAGTGAAATAGGTGGTCTTGAAGTGTGATGGTTCATAATTCTGGCAATCTTTCAGTGGCAAAGCTAGCTCAGACGTGTCAAGTGTGGTGAAAACCTTGGGTATAACTATCGAGCCGCTAGTTTGGTGTTTAATCCAACTTGGTTATAAGGTGAGTGTAAGAGGATAAATTCTACGCCTTACGTATTCTTTTAAGTATTATGATTCTAAGTATTTTAGTGAATTGGTTGCCATTGCTTGATTAAGTTTATGATTGATTATTTGTGCTTTGCTTGAGCTATGATTTGAGGTGATTTGGGGTGATTTGTGCTATTTACCTTGAAATTTTATGAGTATAAGTTATTGTTTAAGTTTAAGAAACAATGTCTTTTTAAGAAGTAACTCACCTCCAAGAAGGTGAAGTCGTTTTAAGTGTTTTTAGTCACTAGCGCCAGTCCGTTGCCTTTTGTGACAGTTTGAGATAGAGCAGCAGTTATGCTCTTGAGATTTTTAAGATGGGCAGCAGTTATGCCCTTGAGAATCGTAGTGAAGAGCCACCACGATAAGTTTAAGATGTTAGGGGGATGAATCGTTACGATTTTCCTAACTAAGTTTAAGTTTAAGGAAAGCCTAAATGGCTTCTCATACGTATGAGTTGGCAACCGGATTAGCTAGTGAGGGATCCCAGTGTCGGTCAAGTATTTAAGTCAAGCTTTGAGATTTAAGAATGGAGTAACAGTAACTCCCATACAATTTTAAGAGTTAAGCTTTTTAGTAGTGGAAGTACAAAACAACTCCCACTCAGTAAAGTAAAGTGATCAAGTAGTAATAAGTACTTAAACGTAAGGGCGTAGACTGACCCCATCTCACTCACCAGTTTGAGGAGCTAGAGGAGCAGTTAGTGAGCAGCGAGTTCGAGGGCAGCCAGCTAGAGGAGAGCAGTGTAAGCGTCATGGAGGATGCTTCGTCAAGGTTTTCAGTAGCAACAACTTCAGAAATTATTAGTTATTTACATTTATGATTATGACTACAGACTGGAGATTGTTTTGAGATCAGTTTGAGATTTTGAGTATTGAGTTTGCCCACGTGTTAGGGCTTTGCTTTGAACTACAAGTGTGTGTTTTCAGTATTTTATTTATGAAAATTTTTCCTACTCCAATTTAAGATTTGAGTATTTTATATATTGATAGGTCAAAAGCGTATGCCTTAATCCTATCTTGTAGTAAAACCGGAAAGTCCGGGTATCGTCTCTTACGGACTGGTACAACCTTAAGATTTACCGATTTAATAGAGCAAACTATAAGTGAAAATGGTTTAATGAGATTATTAACTACTAGCAAAATTAACTAAACAAGCAAATTAAAGTGTCGGGTTTAAATCAACGGGAGAAAGCTCTGGGAGAAACACCGGGATTCACTACCTATCCTATCCAGATTAATTCACATATTCCAATCAATTTAATCCATACCTCTACAGCCAGGATATCACGAATGTGCTAGCTATCCCTGTCGGGAATTACTACGTACTAAACAATTAATTCAAATCCTACTGTCGTAGCTCAATGAGTTAATTATTTAGTCTAAAGATTGATATCCTATTTAAGATCGCATAGCACCTTATTTAATCCACTGTCACTTCGATAAGTTACTATGTCACATGAAATAGGTTCAGTTAATAGGGTTTCACTGTCGCTAATAACCTAATCAACTACAAATCGATGTATTGGTGGCCAGTCAACACAAAGCATTAAGCAATTCCATGCAATAGAGATTGGATGAAAAGAATCATAAATCAATCCATCAAATCAAGAAATAGCTACATCCTATAGTGTTTCCCCCAGAAATCGGGGTTTAGTTCATGACGAAATTAAGATAAATTGATAGGGTTTTGTTCATCATGTTCTAAATCAACAAATAACAACTAATTTGGTTCAGAAAATCCAACCAACTAATCGCTCTCGTTGAATTCAGCTCAAGCCTTGGAAAAACTGATCACCAATCTGTGAATCGCCTGCTGCTGCTCGCTTTTTGCCTGCGCCGCCTGCTTCGCTTTTTTCTTCTCGCCAAAGAAATCCGCCCAAAAAAAAAACCAAACAAAAGTCTCTCCCCCCTGGAATAAAGTTTCGCCCAGAATAATAAAATCCAAAGAGAAACTCCTTCAATTTTTCCACCGCCAGCAATTTACTCTGGTCCCCTCTCTCGTGTCCAATCCCCTTGGGCCTCCTAAAATTCCTGGCCCAATCCAAATCAAGTCCCTGCCGACCAGCCTTTCCAAAATATCCCCGGCCAATTAATTCTGGTCCAAGTGAATAGTAACCCAAGTTCAGTTCCCCTGTCCCAAGTAATTCCGCCTTCTAATTCCGTGTGTCCCCATCAATCCGTTGCCCTGTTCCACCAGAAATAGGCGTGGCCCATTTAGGCCCATTTCTCCTCCTAGCCCAAGTGACTAGTCCACCAGTAGTTCGAGCTCGATTTATTGTTTATGCACTCGCTCCTTTTTCGTGCTTTCTCCACCTGTAACATATCAAACTCATGGCACTAGGCAGTAATGGTTTTTCAACCATTTTCGGGTTAGCGACCCCTAAAATAGCACCAATCGGCTTAAACATACCACGGATAATCACATAAAGTCCAAGAATTCAATATGTTAAAGCCGATTATCACAACCCCACACTCAATTGTTGCTTGTCCCTAAGCAACGACTCAAAAGACAAACACAAAATGACACACCACAGACTCACTAATCAAACACTCATAGCAAAACACAAAAATTCCTTGTACTCTTGTTGTAATCAGTAGTTTCTTTCTCAACGGACAAGTTGTGCTTTAATGATCATACCTATCACCCCACACTCAAGTTCTTTGCAACCATTACCATTGACTGACTCAAATCCATCAAAAACTCAAATAGCAACACTCAATTCAGGTCGTCAGTAGCGGGTGATTAACAACTTATGGTGCAACAGTTATTAGGAGAATCTAACCACATCAGTGAGGTGCATATCTCGTGAGGACAATCTGGCTTACTCACACCAATCATAAGCAATTAAGTAAGCATGAGTCTCAAAAACTAATGGGGGAAGCCTTTCGCAAACATGATTTTAACTTTAAGCACATCACTACCTTTTATGACAAGGAGAGGCTTTCTCTCATTCTGCTTTTGCTTGCCGAGTGGTCGTACTTAGTACAAGTGGGATTTGTTTCTTACTACCGGTGACCGAGCAAGAGCAATTTGTGCTTCTTAGCACTCGCATAAGGGCTTCATTTAACTCCTTTTCCTCGGTCCGTGTGGAGGGTCATTGAACATCCTCTAATGGCACTTCACTCAACTGGGGATCGTACTTGATAAGCAACATCGTACGGTCGCGAACCGATTCTCAATTGAATCTTTCCTCACCCCCATGTGCAATGAGTGATTGCCTCACACGATTTTGGCATTTTTATCCACACTTTAATTGTTATGGCAACTTTCTTATATTTTTCTTGTCAGGTAGTGTTTTCTTTTATGAAGATACAGTTCACCCCATCATAAAACATTCAAAACAGAGAGACTCATTGCAAAATCAAAAGCTCACAATTGATGCAAGTAAGCACGGTATCCAAACATGTCGAGTGGTCAATGTTCTCCTCCTAACTACTTCACCAAAAGTCATTACACTATCCTCACAAAAGAGAATGTTGCTAAAAAAGTTTGCTCATTCAAAGCACATCAAGTCAGTCAAAACATTCAAGCTCATTGTGAAGAACCATGCCATTCAACAGTAGTGGGGTGATTTCGATGATTTCATTCAAGCACAAACTCATTTCACACGCATCACACTCATTTACATCATGTTACCACAAGAGTACAAGGTTTTGTTTTTAATTTTTCTGATTTTTAGGTGTTTTTTAGCCATTAGCTTTGCACAGGCATCCTGCTTTTTACACAGGCAAACTGCATGCAGTTTAGCTGGGCTCAACCTAATGGAAATTTTTTTTAAACGATATACACATGATGAGACACTGTGGACAACTAAGACTCGACATAAAACACGACAAGAACACAGACCATCCACCCCACACTCAGGATGGACATTGTCCACAATGTCTACAACTACACACGACACATCAATAGGTTCACCTAACTAACATTATTACAGACCATTATCAGAGGCATTCACAAAGAAATGAAGAAAAGAAGAAAAAGAAAAGAAAAAAGAACCTCGGGACAAGCTCCTATGAAGGAGGGATCGATGAAGAAGTGCCTATCTTCTCATTTAGACGTCGGTTTAGCTCCTGGATCTTCTTATCTTTCTCTGCGTCTCTGGCTTCCAAGATAGCTATTCTGGCTCTGAGCTCGTCTGCAGATGATGGTGAAGCTGGTACAACTTGTGGAGTATCTTCAGGATGCGGAACTGGAGGAGGATGGGACTGCTGGCCCTGGCTGACACTCATGGCAGAGTGTCCCGCTGCTGCTGGTACTGGTGATGATGAACAAGCACCCAAAGGTATGGGTGTAGGAGCTGGAGCTGTGGTCGGAGTGGCTACTGATGGTGCGGGAGATGATGCCGAAGTAGAAGTTGCTCTAGCAGCCCTTGCTGCCCTTTTCCGATTGACCTTGGTCTCCCACTCCTTGTATTTGGCGATAGATAGATACTCACCCCGACAACCTGCTTTCCTCAGAAAACCCAATTTTCCTAACGTTGTTTCCCCAAGCAGAGTCGAGCCCTCACTGATCTCCAAACCCGTAGGGTTCTCTGGGAACCCCCAGTAAGCTCGAGCTAATGTAGTGACGATTCCCCCACACATAATCCCTCCGCAAGTCTTCAGTGCATCATTTTCAAGCATCTTACCCACCATGTACCCAACACACAATGGTGTTCC